AAATAAACTCTAACACTTAAGAAATCCGTCGGACAAGCGGATTCACACCTCTTACAACCAACACAATCCTCTGTTCTTGGGGCAGAAGCAATTTGTTTAGCTTTACATCCGTCCCAAGGTATCATTTCTAATACATCTGTGGGGCAGGCTCGGACACATTGAGTACATCCTATACATGTATCATAAATCTTTACTGAATGTGACATTGGATCGTAATCCTTGAACATAAAAAATTCAACATTTTCAATCTAGTAAACTTGTAAACGAATTTAATATATCTATCTAGATAGATATATTAGACACCAGATGAATCAATGATTTTTCAGAATTTTGCTAATCAAAATCGACTTATCAATTAATTAATAAAAAGAGAATACAACCAAGATACTTTGATTTCTTATGTTTGTTTTCACAAACATGATCATAAGTTATATATCATATATGCTAATTTGAATTGATTAATAGTACACACTTTTCTAAATTATACTTTTTTTTATCTTTTATGAGTAATACTATTTATTCAACAAATTCGATTGATTGATACGGGTTGATTTTCTATTCCGGTAAATTGAGGAAACAATAGCCGGTCCGATAGCTGCTTCAGCGGCTGCAACAGCTATAACAAAAATTGAAAAAATATTTCCTTTTAATTGTCGACTATCAAAAAAATCAGAAAAGGTTACGAGATTTATATTAACTGCATTCAGTATAAGTTCAAGACACATAAGGGCTCTAACCATATTTCGGCTCGTGATCAACCCAAGGATGCCTATAGAAAATAAAAAGGCACTCAAAACAAGTGAATGCTCGAATATCATTGACCAACTCCTTATCAATTTTGATTCATTTCAATATGAACAAGAATTTATTGACTAAAGAATATAAAAAGTCTATAACAAAATAATGTATTGACAATAAAAAAAAGATTTTCTACATAAATACTATTTTACGTTTACATAAAATTCAACGAAAATCAATGTGATAAAATCTAACAAAATTAAATTTGGATTTCTATTATTAGTTCTCAAAATTTATTATTGGCGAGCCACGACAATTGCACCTATTAAAGCAACTAAAAGAATTATGGAAATAAGTTCAAATGGAAGAAAAAAATCTGTTGATAAATGAATTCCAATTTGTTGACTAATACTTATCAAATCTTGCTCTATAATCTGATTTGGTTTTGTAGTCAAAATAATCCCGTGCCATGATGTATCTAGAATAGTAATTATTAGTGAAACAAAAATACTTGTACAAACCATCAAAGTAATTCCATCCCCAATGGTCCAAGGACGAAAATCTTGATAATATTCTGAACCATTCATGAACATCACAGCAAATATTATTAAAACATTTATAGCGCCCACGTAAATAAGTAGCTGTGATGCAGCTACAAAATGGGAGTTTGATAAAATATAGAATAAAGATATACAAACAAGAACAAGTCCCAACGAAAAAGCAGAAAAAATTGGATTCGTAAATAAAACTACTCCTAGACTTCCTAATATAAGACCCGATCCAAGAAAGACTAAAAGAAAATCATGTAGCGGTTCGGGCAAATCCATTATATGAAAAATAAGAGATAAAATAAATCGAAATTTCATGACCTTATTGATATGACCAGGAAAAGCTTATATATTAAATACTTAAAATTATCGCCGTATTGAATTCAACCAAATCCTAAGATAATAAATGTGAATTTCTAGAAGTACAGTTGTTCTAGGTTCAATGTCATTCTATTCTTTTCTTTATGTGAAAGAGTAATTTCAAACTATATGAAAATGAAAGTATATATATATATATATAATCATTTGATATATATTTTATGATTTTACTTTTTAGAATAATTTTTTTTGAATTCTAACTAATTTTATTTTATTTGAATTGTTCTAATTGTATAATCATCAATTACTGATACTGGTAAACGGCCCAAAGCAATTTGATTATAATTCAATTCGTGACGATCATAAGTCGAAAGTTCATATTCTTCAGTCATTGATAAACAATTTGTTGGACAATATTCAACACAGTTACCACAAAATATACAGATCCCAAAATCAATGTTAGTGGTTAACTATTTCTTTTAAACCATACAGGCGTGGGTTGGTAAGTTAATTCTGGTATGTATAAAATGCAAAGCGTTGTTGCACATTATGTGAGACAACTGTACAGTATAAAAATGACATTTATGAGGGTGATAATTTACATAGAATATTGATTGTAAACTGAGGTGTGGGAACCTTTCAAAGAAAGATGTGCAGTTGGCTTTTGATATGGGTTATATGTTGCCACAATTATTCAATCTTCCGGATGTTAGGTACTATGAATGACAAAAATATCCGTACTCACGGATATTTGCGGGTAAAATCTGCTATGAATAATAAATGAATAGGTTAATTGGGTATTTGCGAATAATGGGGATGAATAATTTTTTACCCGTTTATAAGCGAGGTGGGGGTGGGTATGATGATATTTATACTCGCAGGTATTCGTTTAATAATATTTCTTAAATATTCTAATTATTCTTGTACTACATAACTTTAAAATTACACTCTCTCATCTTATTTTCTTACAAAAGTGAGGTTGATTAAGTTATTAACATGTGTTAAACATGTTATAAAATTATGTTGAATGTAATTTGATTAATTTTTTAACTTTGATTGGACTAATAAAATTTATGTATTTGTGATGAGATTCTAACATACTTGTTAGATTGATGTATTTTAAGTTATTGATTATCATGCATTTTTATTATTATTTCAACAAAATTAACGTTAAATACAAGTTCAAAATTAATAATGAATTTTTATTTTAAATATTTCAATGACATTAAATATAAACTTAAAATTATTTATAATATAATTTTTTAAATTTCTTAAAAAATTTATAAATATTCATGGATATCCGTAGGTATTTAAGAATTCATAGATACTCGCTTAATAGATATTCGTGTGGATATGAGGTAAGTATGATGTCAATTTTTATTCAGCGGGATGGGGGTGAGTTTACTATTACTCGCTCACACAGGGTCCCGTTGCCATCCCTATTAGGTAATTATAAAATTCAGTATATTTATTTATTTATTTAGCCCAGAATCTGGCCGTGAAATGGTTCCTTCCTTTCGTGATTCATTTGGCAAATACATTTTCCTTACTCGTACTACTATCAGTAATAGTTGGACAACGGTATGTTATGATGCCTATGTTAGTAGACACGATAAATGCTTAACCCAAGTTGGCAAGCTCCTAATAAGGAGAGGTTTTTATGTTTTCGTAAAGTTTGTTTTATTGAAAATGTTACACGTAACTCTAGTTGATTTTTATGTATGTTATTTGGATAAAAAAATTGGTTTTAATAACCGTTGTTAGTTGGTGATATTAAATATACTCTATTAATTTATTTTTATATAGTAATCGAGTTAAATGATTTTTATATTCTTGATACAAAAGTGTTTTTTTTTTAATAATAAAAGAATTACTTTTGTATCTTCAACTAGCAAAAGGGAAATATGTTAAAATGACAGTGCTTGTTGATAAGAAAGGTTATTAAGATAAATTATTAGAAGTTTAATTTTTATTAATTCTTCGGTGAAATATTTGCATAGTCAACTAACAAAAAAGTCACCATTTTAAATAGTCATAAATTATTAAATTTATCATATATGATAATTTATAATTGGATGATGTAAAAACTTACATCCTTGGTGTAATACAATTAAAATAATTTCTAAATGACTTCAATTTTCATACATTGTCAGTTTAGCAATTTTTATAGTCAATTAATTACAAATAATCTTAAGTATGATTTTAAAAATTACTATAAAAGCCAGCCAATTTATGTTACAAATTGTCTCATTAATTTTTTTCCATCGACCCTTTTTAATTCAGCGAATCAACCCTGGTCTCCCCTCCTTTATTGGGCCCGTCGCAAAACCTTTGAAATATAACTTAAATTCAAGATAACGTTAGCCCCAACCATTTTTTTTTACTTATGGAAAAAAGGGGGTAATTTTTTGCAACCTCGTAATTGAGAACTCAAAAATACTTATATTTTGCTAAAGTCAAATAAGCATAATATAGTTTAACGGGTGCCAAGATTTCAAGTAGTGATGAATACTTTGACTACCATATTTAACATGTTAGCCTAAATGTTTGTGTTTTGGGTAAATTTCATTTTAGTTCATAAAAGATACAATAATCT